TGCGCCTGTCCTGGAACTCACTCTGTAGACCAGGCTGGCCTCGAACTCACAGAGATCCACCTGGCTCTGCCTCCCGAGTACTGGGATTAAAGGCGTGCGCCACCACCGCCCGGCGGCTTGTTTTTTTGAGACAGGGTTTCTCTGTGTAGCCCTGGCTGTCCTGGAACTCACTCTGTAGACCAGGCTGGCCTTGAACTCAGAGGTCCACTTGCCTCTGCCTTCCAAATGCGAGCATTAAAGGTGTGCACCACTGCTGCCCAGCCTCTGAGAATACTAGTGAATCAAAGTAAAGGACTGCAGGGGTAGAAAGGAGGACCTCACCTAATTTTTCGAGCGATGAAATAAACAGCCAGCAGAAGGCAGAGGCATCCAGCCAGGATTCCCACGCCTAGACCCAGCATCTCTCCTGGGGAGATAAAGATGTCAGCCCAGTGTAACAGGCACCAAGCCTTTCCAGTTTTGCTGGGAACCAAGGCCCCTCATATCTCCATCCGGGGCTGTCTTACCTGTGGTGTACAATGGCCCCGCTGTAGAGGAAGAAAACCTGGGTTAGGGGAGTTTCCGAACATCTTCCCATTTGGGAGCTCTGCTTACACACCTGGAAAATGACCTGGGCATTCATGGCTAGGAGTGGTTCCCAGTCTAAAGTCTGAGAACCCGCCCTCGGCCGCCTTCTGCCCAGGGCTTGACTGTTTCATGCCTTGAGTTCCTCAGTTTCCCACCTCTTCTGAGCCCCGCGAGTCACCTTGGGTGAAAGAAGCAAAGACCGTCCGCTGGTTGAGAGGCTGGGGGACTCTGTAGTTCCGTATGAGGGGCTCAGGGGGCGCCTCTTCTGTAGAGGACAGCATCTCCTGGAGCTTTTCTAACTGAGGAGCAGCAGTGTAGAAGTCACTCTGGGGCCTGGGCAAGGGTCTCAAGTTAAAGTAGCTCGTTGCCTCCCCACCACTCACCTGTCCCATTGACATCTGGACCCTTCTGTCGAAGACTGTCCAGAGGACACTCTGGTAGCAGGGGGGAGTTGTGAGTGAGCCGTTGTAACGGAAGAACTGCTCCAGCTCTTGGGGGAACAGCTCTCTCACACTGAAGGCAGGCACGAAGGTTACATCATCTGGGGAGAACAGAGCAATGGTCAACCTTCCTGGACCGGCTTCCTCTAGGCAGAGTGCACTACCAACCCACGGCCTGCTCCCAAAGCCTCTTCGGTCAGGTTTCGAAAGTTTCTCTGCGGTTGAGTTCTTGCTGCAGGTTTTTAGGGCTCACCTTTGTGTCTTATATTATGCAGATGACTCAGGATGTGCTCATAAGCTGGATTCTCAGTCTCACCCACCTGTGAAGGGAGCGTATGGTAGAAGCAAGCATGTTTGGAGTAAGAGTGCATGGGCTAAATAGTACAGAAAGGCCGGCAAAGAGCAGGCCTGAGGAGTGTACATAAACGGAGAGAGACCTGAGAGGGCTAGGGGGGACTGACCTCAATTAAGATGCCTAGGACAGCCAGGCCCTGGGGCTTCTGAGCAGCCTCGCTCAGGCTGCCATAGGACTCCGAGTCATAATGGACCACATGGAGCTGTGGGGAGGAAGAAGGGGGCCGAGTTACCTGGGGCTTCCTCATTCTCCCCAGGGCTTTGACTTAGGTCACCACCTCAATCCCCCAACCCAAGGCTCTGCCCCCAAAGCTTTGCCTTCTCCCCTCAATCTGACTTTTCAAGGGCTCAGCCCCATCCTTTCTCCAAGATCAATGGAAGGGACATGGAACGGCGCCCTTTCTATTCCGAGTCCTAGTCGGTACCTCTGCGGCTGTGGCTTCACTGTTGATCTGGTGCTCCGAGCCCTCTTGGGATCCTTTCTGGCCCCAGTGCAGGTGGAGCTGGGCTGCTGTGTATTTCCGGGGCAGTCCCCCCAGGTGCAGGGTAGGGGGCAAGGAGAGCTGTACTGTGAGGAAAACAAGGTAGGGTCGGTGGGGGAACGTGGACAGTCCCCACCCCACCTGCCACCGCTTGGGACACTTGACTCTTCTCTTCCTTCTCCTCCCAGAATTGCCTGGCTCCTCTACAGGCTGTGGCTTTTCTGACAGGGTGGCCTCTCTGCTGATGATTAGTCAGTGCTACAGCACTCTCCTACACATTGAACTTGATCATAGACGTTCAATCCCGCCTTGCCTGCAAGCGCCTGAATCTCTTTTAGACAGGGTTTCTCTGTGTAGCCCTGACTGTCCTGGAACTCGCTCTGTAGACCAGACTGGCCTCAAACTCACAGAGATCCATCTGCCTCTGCCTTCGCCTCCCAAGTGCTGGGATTAAAGGTGTGGACCACCATTGCCCAGCTCTGAACCTCGTTTGTCCATGTTAATTAATGGCGTATTCTAAGATTTTGCAAATTAGGGGTCTTATTTCCTCTGGCTCTTTTAAGATCTGAGCTAGAGCCTGCAGTCACTTGGAGTAAGGTCTTTTACCTGTGTGGCCATTATTGAATAGCTCCAAAGGTTCACTACCAGGCTGGTCATATCCATGGGGCTGTACAGCAGGCAGATCAGGGTCAAATATCACACCATCCGTCTGGATGTCGATGGGGGACTGGGCATTGCCTCCACACTCAGGGTAAGAGGTTGGCCAGTGGTCCTGACCATGTGGGCCTGGTGGAGGAGTAAGTTACCATGGGCATTTGGCCAGCCCACAGTCCCCCCACCCCAACCCCCACCCCCGCATACTGCGCATGTTATATAGTGGAGGTAGAGATCTGCTCTGCTCTCGCCACCCAGTTGGGTAAGGCTGGGTGAGGTGGGAACCCCCACTGCACTCTAGGCTGCAGCGCCCCTGGCCTCCCCAGAAGCAGGGGTGATTCTCCAGCTACCCTAATTAGTGGGAGAGTGGTAGCTTTCACTCACCTGGATTTTGAGCACAATGCAGCTTGAAAGGGGGGAAGAGGAAACAGAAAGCTGGAATACCCGGGGAGGTAGAATTCGAGGGGACAGCTGACCCTAACAACTGCTCCCTGTCAAGTAGTCTTGGGGTCCAGATATCCTTTCTATCACTCACTCCTTGCTCTCACACCGGACCTTGCTTTGACTGCAGATAGGTCATTAATCAGACGTTCAAAGGGATTGAGTTCCACTGTCCCTAGAGTCATAGTATCCCGCCAGCCTCTTCCTCCTGACCTCACGCTCTGTCCAGTTTCAGACAGGTGGGGGGTAGGGCTGTTGGGGAGAAAGCCAGAAGAATGGCCGCTGAGCGCAGTGCAGTGCGCCTCTCCCCACCCAGGCTGCTTCATTCCCACACAGACTGACGGCGGACTCATTGGCCTTTTTGCTGAATCAGCAGACGTGGGATTTAATGGTTAGAGCAGGGTCTAGCAGCCACATGTGCAAACCCCAGGGCATGTGTCAGTGTGGTGTCGCGCAGAAGACAGGGGCTAGTGTGGGAAGCTCTTCCTCCTCCCCAGGACAAGTCTCCGAGTCAGGTGAGGGGGTCCCAGGGTGAAAGGTGTGCCGGGCCATCTGGAGTTCTGCTCTCACCTTCATATGTCCAGTGGTGACCTGCAAGAGAGAGTCATGTGGGCTGTGGCCAGCGCAGCTGGGAGCGTGCGGAGCGTGCGCAGCCGGGAGCAGTGCCCGGGGCTCCCTCCGCTCTCCACTCTCTCCAGCGGGGCCCCCCTCCTTTTCTGTTCTCTCCCCCTCCACTCCAGCACTTCCCAAGTGAAGCCCTGAAACTGGACACCACCGCGGTGGAAAGGTCGGGGGTCCTATTTAAAACAACTAGCCAGGCTGTGCCC